GACGTGCCGTCGTCTTGGCAACGCAACGTGGGAAGCCAGCGGCCAGAAGCTTTTCATGCTGGGAAGTTTTTATTCCTTTGATTTTGTGACATGAGCAGTAGTTTACTAAACGAGATATTTTAAAGAACTTTTTCGCTCTCTCCGTTCAGAATTGCATGTCCCGGCAGCCCTTCGTTGTTGTTTTGGTTTCGGTGTCAAATTTTAAATACGCTAGCACATAAATTCTCCGACCATTCCCACTTCTCCGCCTCGATCATTTGTTGCTCACCGATGGGCGGTCAATCAGCGCTGACGTGGTTTAGAACGTGGCGAGCGGCGCCGCGGCACCGGCAAGAACAGTCCCCTTACGTCGGCGGAAACTTACCCACGTCTCTCGTTCCTATGCGCCGCAAAGTACTTCATTTAAAACCGCGTACCTGAAAACAGGAAAAGGGAATAATGGAGGTGTGAACAACAACGTAGTCTACTCTCCTTGATGCTATTATATCACCAAATCCACTGCCCCCATCCACAAACCAAAAAAAAAAAAATGTAGGGAAAAATAACGTCCCCGGACGGTAGCAAAAAAACAACAACAACAACTTCTTTCTCCAGGCTCCCACTCGACGGGTGCTGGTGTCTGGACGCCCGCAACAGTTCAGGCCGATGGGAATGCTGCTGAAACGTAGGACCTCGCGTCGTGCCGGTGAGAAGGGGCGGGGAAATCCACAAAGAGTGCTCCGCCCTCCATTTCTCTGAAGTTGCCGTGCTGCGCATATGAGTGTAGCAGGATCTCGTGGTATTAACGCAAAAGTCACGCTGTATTTTTCCGTAATTACGCTTCTCCCTGCCAAATCTAACCAAGGACATTTTAGCTGTATTCCCGCGTTAATTTCAGGGTATTCCTGCGACAAAGTGGCAACTGTAACGTAGGCTGTACTGTACGTTCTTTCCTGGAACAAGTTGCCGTGAGCAGCGTACGCAACACATCGCAACCCTTCACTTATGCGCCGTTAAATAGATGTTGGTATGGACTCTTGATCAAAGCTGTAAGTTTCAGTTTTACGTTGGTAGCATGATAAAAGTAACATTATATCAAATAAATACTCAAAAGCCCACTTGTATATTCATGGTTCAGTAATATGCTGGACTCTGGAACGCCGAACATGACCCACAGTTACGTCGCAGAGGACCGACCTTGTTATGTCCAAATAAATGGCGCGTTTCGTTCCGATGCGCCACAAAGTATTTGTTTTACTACCCCCAAACGAGTAAGCGTTAACTCTATGAATAAAATCCAAAGGCTAAAAAACACTTTCAATCCATATTTTGATACTTCCTGACAAATTATAAAAAGTGGCGAACTCGGGGTACACCCTTGGAACTACCGCCCTAGTTACGTCGCAAAGTAGAAGGTTGACCCTTGACCTCAACGTTCGATCAATCACCATGGTAACACGTATGTAAAAAGTCTAACAAAAACTCTTTCGACATGGCCATATGTCATCAAGAGGTTCATGGAATTTTCCTTTGAAATGTGTGATTTATGTTAAAAAGTGGCGAACTCGGGGCCCCCTCCGTTACTTGCCTCTGCCCCTTGTCCTCTCTGTCCTCGCCTTCTTCTCTGTTCACACACAAACACACACACACACAAAGAAAAAGGCAGAAAAGAACGACTTGTATTGTTTTGTGCCTTTATCAGTATTGGTAAAGGGGTCACGGGGGGCAATAGTTCTACCCGGAAGTCAATGATCTTGTAACTGTAAGTGTAAGGCACGGCACCTGTTCCTTACTTGACAATAAATGAATTTTTCAGCATTTTTCAGCATGGTGTACTGCACGCACATGCTCAAACTTCCAGTTGGCATCGCACAGTATTACACTGCAAACGTATAAAACGTATAAAAAAGGGGGAGGGGCGCTTCTTTAGTTTAGCTCCGTTTTTAAGTCTCCGATATACTGTATTTATAGCATGGTGAATTTACTTACTCCTCGGTCCGATCCTTTCCCTCCGCCTCTCCCTCTTGCCTGGCTCATCTTCGTGACCTATTGTGTCGCCTATCTCACCGCAGCAGCGGGAATTCAAGCTTATTATAAGCGTTTGCTTTTGCGTGGTTGTGATGCAACCTTTTGCTATTTCGGGCGGGCTTCGTCATGGTTGCTGTAGCCTGCACTTCTGCAACATCTTGCTAGGTGGCGCTTCTGTCAAGTACTAGTAACCCCGATGCTCCTATGGCAGAGCGTGGTATTAAAGTGATATTATGTAGGATTTTCGCGCCAAAACTGAAAATACAAATATTTGAAATTTTCTCATATAGATTGTCATTTTCGATAACTTTCAACGTATTAGCGTCGCTATTTCGCCTTTTCGGCAACTCAGCGCAGCGCGAGAATAAGTTGCGCAAGGCCAGACGTATTTATTTGTGCCCCAATAAATAGAATGTAAACAAACAACGGTTTTCGTTCGGAAATCTTCGGCAACTTCCGGCGCGTGGGTTCCATGGTTCGAACGCTTTCGAACGCTGGAGTTCGAAGCCGATTGACTTCAAATTTGCCAATTTTTGAAGGGTCAGTACCTAATCAAAAATCCTCTTTTTGTATATACTTGAAAGTTATCATGTCACTTATCATATTGCATGTGGTAGCCACATTCATACAGTTTCTCATACCAAGGAACGAACTTTATGACATTTCGCTAAATGTATCAAAATGTTGCGGAAACTCAGAATGGTGTGCGCCGGTAGCTACAACTGGGCTAAAATTTCGTCACCGCGATGTGTGCACCGTCGCTGTTTTCTTTGGGGCAAACCCGTTTGTCCTAAAACTAACCAGGGGACTTTGATATCGATGTAAAGGTGAAGATGTGGGCTATCACACTGTGGTATTAGCTAATGGGATCCAGTTGGCCAGTAAAAAAAGATAAGCACAGATAAACTGACCAAAAATGCTAATGTTTGGAAGGCCATAACGATCGCTGTCATTTTGTAATGCACGAAATTTCTACATTGTTGTACTAGGCAAATCCTGTAGATATGAAAAAGTAAAACGTTACGTATGTCTAAGGTGTTTTTGTTGCACTATTGGCAGTTGTCAAATCGTGACCCGGCATATGCCGTATTATAGAGAATAACGTGTTCTACGGTGACCTGCGGTTCGGCTGGATTCGGGAATGCTCGGACGCGGTAGGATGTAAACAAACATGGCCCCGATCCGTGCTAGCGCCGAGTGCGCAGTTTTCCAACACGTTTTTGCGGCGTAACGACGTTGATCTTTTGATCCCTAAATGTCATTATGAACCCATGTAGGCTTACAGAGCAAGAAAATGTTTAAAATAAAGATGTTTAAAATAGTTAAAATCCTACATAATATCACTTTAAAGTAAGTTACGTTTGTCCATGGAGGTAGAAAAAAGATGGTTTGTCATAGAAATTTAAAAAAAAAAATACAAATAGAATTTGCTAGAACAAAACGTATATTTACTTTATGCCATGCCCAATTAAGCACATTCATTAAAAACCAATGATTGGGAACTGTGGATTGTCTGTAGTATACTAAAAAAGCCCAAAATGTCGGATCAGAAATTTCAAATTTGAAGAAACCTGGCGAAAGGCCTGAACCAATAGCAAGATATCCCCTAGTTCAATTAATCAATCAGTCGATTTAGTTTTTACCTCCGGGGAAGGAGATATCCTTCCGCGAGGAGGTTTTACTATGGTTCGAAACATTTCTGTCAGCAGCTGTTTCTCGCGATCGGCTGGACGGATTTGTCTGTGGTTCGGTATACGTATTGCTGTTGGGCTGCAGATGATGCAGAACGTTTTTGTTTAATCGTATATGTGTTTATGGGCGTGGAAATAAAAGGTTTTTAAGTGCTCCGGACACCCCCGCCATGCTGAAAATGGAATTTACCATGTTGTTAAGGAATGGGGAGGTTTCAGTTTTGGGTCTTACCATTTAAAAGGGGTCAAACAGAGGGGTGTCTGCTTCCGATATGTATTTTGAAATATTATCGCAGTTGTATCTCGCGTTGGGGTAGACTGGACTCGGTGTATGTTCTTCTAATGGGCTGTAGATGGTGCAGGTTTTTTTGTTTTTATTGTATATGTGTTTTGGGGCGTAAAAATCTGAAAATGGTCGCGCGCGGCGCTGGGCTGGCTGCCAGCGCAACTTCCGGGTGGGCCAATGGGTCAGGGGTCAACGCCCTCTTGCGCAATCTTGGATGTTTTCGGCGTAT